GATAAATTATAGTGGAATTCTATGGTATTGATATAGTAATTTATGATTTTTGGTTATTTCAAAATGTATATATAAAACCTGATAAAAAATTTTTCGTTTTAACATCCTCCACATGTGAAATTTGATAAGGCTTAGCAACCTACAGCAAGCAGTAAACAAGTTCAAAGTTTGTAACTAGAAGAGATAATTATTTTCTATAATTCTTTTTCTACTGTTCTATGTTTTAAGAAAAATAACTGAAATTTAACAATATATTTTAAGTAGTAATAATGTATATACATATATAATGTATTAAAAATTAAATATGACCATATTTTACAAAATACTAGTCCACTAGAACACAGCCAAGATAAGTTACTTTGTCAAGGCCAGTTGTATACTCTTGGATACAGTAACATGAGTGCACTGTGTCATTGCAACTACTAAGTTCTATAATGTTAGCCCCGCACGGCTGAAAGGGTGATATAATAAAAATAATAAATATATATAAATGAATAATGTTATGAAATTTAAGCTATTTAGACTAAACATTTGTGTTTGTGTTATAATTTGTAGTCACTCTAAAGCAAAAAAAATTTAATTTATATCCTAATTATTTATGGAGGTCACAAAGTTTGTCAAATCGAACCAACCCATACAGATACAATAGTGAAAACAACAGACAAAATATAAAGTTTTTTCTAAGAACAATTTGCTAATTATCTAGAGGTTATAAAGATTTCACATGTGAATTTTGAAAATGTTCTGATGTACAAAAGCATTTTTAATCTTAAAATCAATATTAATTTGCATGTTGGATACTCAACATTCTGAAAGAAAATTTTCTATGCAAAAATCTTTAATTAAAAAATCTTAATACTTAATTTAAAAACCTGATGTTTATTAATAACCTGCAAAATTTTGTAAAGATATGCATACACTATCTTTAGTACATATACTTTAGTGGTTATGAGCTGAGTGGATTCCACCAAGCACATAATGGAAGAGCTAACTTGAAAAAAAAGATTAAATTTGATTGAATGTATATACAAGTTTAAGAACTAGCAAAAACAAAATTCAAAATCTATAGCTGTCAGGTATAAAAAACTGTTTAGTGTAGGTAATATTATTAATGAATTTATTTTGTTTGTAATTCACTGATGTTGAAGATACAGATTTCTAGAAGGCCTAAGTGATGGATGTATAAATAATGATGATTAGACGAGCGTAAACAGAGAGTTAGTAAAAAGTCATGGGAAGGAGAAGTTTGGTGAAAGAAAAAGTCAGAAACATAAAGTTAACCATCATAGGAGTGAAAGCCTATGTGGACTTTGACAAAAAAGCACACAATTATTGGAAATACAGGATGCAACTGTGATAACTCATGCGACAGCATAACTGAATTATATATGGATACTATAGCATAAGAAATAGAGAAAAATAGTTTGACTTGTCAACTGAATTCTAAAGCAATTGATTAGGCCTAAGGGGACTTTTGACAAGAAGAGAACTGTATAGTGTTCAAGATACAACTATGATCTCCATAGTGTAAAGAATTTTGTATATACGTTCATTATACTTGAACATACATCTATACAGTATTTATTCATGGACTGAAAATAGTGTTTACAACCCAGAAGTAAAAGTAGCTTACATAGTTTTCACAAGTCAGTACAGAACATTCTAGAACAATGAAGAGTTATAATGACTGAACAATATCAAATACACATAGAAAGTAAAAAACAATGGTAGTAGCTCAATATAAAAAAAGTACCCCTTTAATGATAAAATAAATAAACTAATTCAATGGCAGAATCTAAAAAATGAAAAACTCTTATTAAGACTTTAGAATTGATAACCTTATCTGGAAAGTATCATGGAACAAAAAATCTAAGGAATTTTTTCTGCACATTCTTTATCTCACTGTAAATTTAACAAATAATTTTCATTCTTTAAGTTCACTTTTCTAATGTATGCACATGGATAAAAAGTCAAATATTTGAGGTAAATTTTACAACCATGAAAAAATACAAGCTTCTGCCAACTACTAACACATTGACTAAATGCATATTCTATAGAAGCATAAAAAAATTGTAGTTCAAATGTTATTATACACATTCATCTTATTGGGAACCTGTATTATGGTTGTTAAATTAAGACAAGATTTATATTACTATCATGGTTACTGTGATGTAATACCACAAACATGTTATTGCTGAATCACTATATATATTATATAGGGCAGAAACTGAATACAAAGCTACCATTCTAAGATAATTTATACTTAATCACTTTACATATGCAGAAAATAAATACAAAGCCATCATTATATACCTAGAATTAAAATTTAACTGCACAGAAATCTCCTACAACCATAAGAACAAAAGGAGGTGAAAGGCACAATCTGATATCACTCTAGTAACTAAAACCATCATTATTGTGGACAGAAACGAACAATTATACAGCACTAAATCCACTGTGGCTCACAAAATATAATGCTATTCACAGCACTGAAACCATGAGCTGCAACAACCACTTAAACCTTTAAAACAGCTTTTTTTTATAGGGAAGGTACAAACAAGAGAAACTAATTATACACCTCAACACAGAATACAGGATTATGAATATGTCAAAGTGATCAGTACACTAATGTATTATGAAATTAAACCATTCACTTACTGCATCAGTGCCTTGCATTCTAACTTTAAAAAGCTTCACTGGTTTAGAGCCCAAGTAGCGAGTTCGAGTGTCTGACAAATCTCCTGTTACTTGGTCAAGGACTGTTCGCAAAAGTACACCATTCTGTAGAAAAATAATTACAGATTATTGGAATAAAATGATGACATTAACAAGTTTTGCACATGTACAAATAAAGAAAGATGTATGTCCTGTACGTTAGATTTCTAATTTATTTTTTGATGTGGTTAATTTTCTCTGTAACACAGCTAAAAAAGTTTTAAAATGTAAAATAACTATCTTTAAATCTTGAAAATAAGAATTTCTACTTAATAATTTTAACAAATACCTTTTACAAAATTTTCTACCTGCACCTTCAAGAATAATTCTTTAAATTTTTTGAACGCCTGGAAAACTTAATCCTGCAGTGATGTTAACCAAGATTCTTAACCAAATAATTTGTAACACAGTATAAACTGGATGTTGTGAGTGGCACTTACCTGTAGTCCAATATTCAAATACAACATTCCCTGCAGTGATTCTCCTCCACCCTCAGACCCACCCATCTCTACTATGGACAGCGATTCTGGTGTATCAGGCAGGGCCTGAAGACTCAGAGGGGACAAGCAGTCCTGTGAAAATCGAAAAACCAAAATGCAAAAACAGGTCCAACTTCACAATTTAACACAAAATCTATTTACTATATAGAGTAATATAACTATAACTCATTTCTTACTCCAAGATCCTTTTTACATTAAAGAGTACAAAAAAAAATACAATAAATCATACTGTTGCAAAACTAAATCCTTCCTTTTAAAACCTCAATATTTAATAAATAAACAGGAATTATGAAAACCAAGTAGCTTTCTCAAAATTATTAATATTTTTCAAAAATAGAGAGAGAAAAGAATCATCATAATCTTTCAAAAAAATATTTACTCTTCTTATGCCTCTTTTTGTTCTCACACTTAAAATACCTAACTAAACTGCATGAAATTTGATAACACACTTTATTATAATATCTAGTTTCTGCTATAAAAAAAAGTATAATTGATTTAGGTAGGTTGTGAACCTTTAGAAATTTATTTGTGAAACACAGTTTTTAAAAACAATAGAATACTTCCTTTTGCCTTTGAGATTCTGTTCTGTTTTTATTTTGTGCCTAAAATACTGTTAATTTATTCAAGTTTTATTTTTTTAATAAAGTTAGAAATTGTGTTAGCAAACCCATTTAATTGTCTGTTCATATAATTTCTGACATACAATGAATGCAATGACTGAAAATATGAGAGAAAGAAATAAAACTGTATTTTTTATTAACACTGATCAGAAAGCATCATTTTATACAACCAAGAACTTCTAAAATTAAAACTTTAGTATTACTATGGATCAGAAAAATATTTCATACATCAAATTAGTTTCAATTTCTATGATTTTCATTAGGTATTTATATTTGTTACTTATCTTTACCCATCAAAGAAGTTATGAAATCACAAAAATTGCATAAAACACTGATGAAGGGTAAAAGTACTAACTGGTAGAAACACAACTTGTATCCTAGGCCAACACTAATACAGAAGATATTTTTTCAACTATATTTTTATTAAGCAAAATCTCTGTCTAATAATTATTATTTGTTTTCAATAACTAAGGAGTTCTTGTTGTTTGAGCAACAATAACTTTACTAATACACACGATAAAAAAGATTTTGTGACATCTGAATAGTTTGTAATCACAAACCCCTAGCTTATGATACTCACTAACCCTAACCATCCTTGCCTGGTGTCTCTTCATAGAAGAATATTCCTGTACTTTTCTAAAGAAACTATAAAATCTTCTAGGTTTGTGCCTAAGTATTGTTAACTGCATATTAGAATCCCATATTCTCCCCTATGGGAATTTCTTCTAGTTACTGACTTTTCTCAGAAACCATAAATAACTGCTTAATCTACTTTATTTAATTCAAATTAACATAGATAGACAAGAGTGTTTTCTATCTAATTGTTTTTTTTAGTCATTAGTTCTATACTGTCCAACCCACTTGCTGTGACATCATAAAAGGTGCCACATAAGGTTGCAGAAATAAAATTACTGGTAGAAAATGAAAACTTTCATTAGAAAAAAATATAAATAAGTCTCTTTCAAAGGAATGGCAATTTTTGAGAAACTATAAATGTATACTTTGTAATGGGAAGCAAATTTCCAAAAAAAAAATGATCAGTGCATTGTTTACTGGTATTAATCCTAGGAGCTGCACAGAAATCAAAGTTCAAACTTTTTCTTTAAGAATTAGACTAGTTAAGTGTTGCTTAACTACACATTATCAATTGTACACTATTTTATAGTAAAATAATTGTTGAAATAAAAGTTGGAATTTGATATCCAACAGTGCACATGATAGTGAATAACTACTACTTTAAATTCATAAGATGACTAAGGCTTATATGAACTGAATAGGAATTTACCAAAATATTAAAGTCAAAAAAGACTTTACCAGAAAAAAAACAAAAACAATAGCAACCAGGTATAATAATGCTGTGAACTACCTGTATAATTATATTATACTCAATTTGAGTGGGACTTCACTGTTATTTGATGGCCTGTATTTAATGTAAAAAAACAGCTTAGACGGCATGATGCAATTAATGTTTTTTAACTTCTCTAACCCTTATAAAGAAGGGTTTTATCCCTTTCAGAATCAAGTATTTTGTATCCCAGGAATCCAGGAAAAAGAAATAAAACTGGTTTTACATTTTAATGATTTATTGTACATTTTATCAAAGAAAGTCCTTACAAGTCATATGTCATTGGATTCAGTGCAAAAAACTCTTATCCAAGTATACCCATACAGTTTCTTGGAATAAATATGGTGGGAATATAAAGTATGGCAAGAAGGAAGCTAATGCAAGGTGTAAATGTTTTGTCTTAGAATATCCTTCATAAATAGTAGGAAGTTTTCATAATATTAAATTTTATACAGCTTACTTTTGAATACTTATGTTTCAATACCAACTAACCCTTGGATTTTAACAAATTACTTTCAGTTTATTAAATCTTTCACTGCTACAGTGAGAGATAAACAACTCTTCCAGTGTCAGATGTATCTTTAAATACACATTAAAAACAAAAAGATGTGTATTTTAATATTTCATTACTTGTATGAAACTGGTAACTTTGGAAAGTTTGAAGGGGGAATACCATTTCTCCATGGTGGTACAAAATTCTAACCTTTCATGGCAGTGTGTTCTAGAGAGGGGTTATGTATGTTTGTACAATACAGAATGAGTTAAGAATACAAGTCAGAAGAGTCACACATGAAATTTCACTACAACCTATACATGACAGAACAGCCATAAGTAACTATTAGCCTATGGAATAAAACTGTCTATGTACACAACACCAGGTTCTATGAGAACCACAAGAATATCACACAAATATCATCCAGTACACACATGATTAATGTTAGGACATAGTGAAGAAATGAAAGACTACTTACAGAAGGATCAAGTGAAATCACCCTAACAGTATTATCAGCTAAGCCAACAGCCAGAAACCTTGAACGTTGTTCTCCTGCCGGTACTCCTGCAAGTGCCATACAGATCACATCAGCTGACATTTCTTTTCTATCTGTGTATTCATTTAACTGTCCTGTCTATAATGATAAAAACATTATTCTTGTTATCAAAAACTGTCATTTACAAGCTTGAAAAACAACAACAAAATAAATAGCTCTGCAAGAAAAACAAACACAGCTATATATTATCCTTCTTGGAACACAACAATAACTCAGTTTATTCACATCTTGTCAGAAACACATAAAAACACTTGATTTACTCAATGAAATAAAACATCAAGATCCATGGGAGTGTGTTGTGCAGCCAAAATAACCTACTGGACACAGTGTGCATTATTAACAGGAGTTAATCCAAACTATCACATATTTTCATAGATGTTTTCTACTGGACTCTTACTTCACATAGTAAGTTTCAAGGCAATCCACTAAGAAATACATAAGATTATTAGTTGTCTACTTTGGTCTAAATATGAGCCACATTTGCAAAGTTATTCAACAAAAACTGCTAAATTTGACCAACATTTTTTTGCACTCCTATGAGCTATTGGTCTGAAATTTCTACTACAGCTTACCCTAAGATTAAAGGTGAACTGTCTTTAGTTGTTGTCATTTGCTGATTTAGAGCAGCAAAACTATAAGGTGAAAGATACATAAGTATTGGTTAGGCCAAGCAAACTCGATTAGCAGCTTCCAAAAGAATCATACAGGTGGATGGGTATTATTCATTGCCAACTTTTAAGCACAAATTTGCTAAATTTTATGAAATTCTCCTAATTAAAGTGTTTTAACATCATGTTATATCAGCTTAAATAATTATGCTTAAAATGGCTATACTGATTGCATGCGAGTGATGACAAGAAACTGCTAAATTTAGTTTCCATGGCGTTACAGTAAAGGAAGTTATTAACACTGTTTTGGAGAAGAAAACTACCACCATATATTTTAAAGAATCTGGTTGGTTCTGTAGAGTATAGGTTTTTTCCAAATAATAGGGTTGCAATCCTAAAGCTAATGTTGGTTACTATCAAGTGTCACTTTCTTACCTGATGTGGTCTGCATTGACATAAAGTCATGATATCTAATTAAAAACACCATTTTGCCTCAAGTTGAACAAAAAACATGACCTGGCTAACTAAGGAATGAATATTTGTGGAAAATTCTTATCAATGCTCTAAGTGTAGCTGTCAGTTTGACTGCCAATTTTGATTTCATTCCTTTAAGTCACATGCCCAATTCCCTTTTTTTTTTTTTTGGTTGCACCTTTTTTTCACACCCAAGGTGTTTTTGATTGGATTATAAATGTGCTATTGTGTTTAAAATACTTATTGTACAAGTTTTGTATCATCAGAGTTCATATTATTGCTCATCAAATCACTAAATTAAAAACTAAAATTGGGTATAATATTTATCAATTAACCATTTTCACTCCCTAATCATGTGTAAAGCTACCAAGAACCTATCCAATTTGGTTTTTAGTGTTTTATTTTAAGGCATGTTTGAACACCTGAGCTTATTATATTTACTTGGAGTAGTTATTTTCTAACACATTTGTTGTATCTGTTGTCATAAGGGGTGTAGAAGTGCTGCCAGAGTAGCATGAAATTGGAGTTCAGTCCTGACATTTCAACAATGAAAAACATGAATATAAAAACAAGTTATTCAGTTTACAGTCAAAACTGACTTTCATAACCAAACTCTCAGAGAACACAATGATGGTTTATAATCTCCCACTCTGCTTAAATCAGGTATCTGAGCATTAAATTAGTGAAAAGTTTTCTGGCATATGTCATGTGGTTATTAAGACACACAAATATAGTATAAAAACAGTAAATAAAATAGATTTTATAATTATACTACCATAAAGATTTTGAATATGCAATTCTTTCACTAAAATTGTTTCTAGAAGTTAGGGTCCATATATGGTAACAAATCTAAATGTTATTTTTCTGCCAGTCCAGACCATCATTTCTGACACGCATTGTGAAAGATAATGCAAACTTTACTAAAAATGTGGCTTTTAATGGTACATTTTATTAACTCCCTCAACATGGGCTCGGTTGATTTGACTGACCACATGACCACTTTGTACTCATTTAGTCTTTATAATCTTGATACTAGTAATTTTTAATATAGTACGTATATCTTCACAAAATTTGGCAGACTTTCAGTAAACATCACAAGTCTTTTACATACAAAAAAATCATATTTGATAGTTAAGTATTTTTTAATAAACTAAAAAAAGATACATCCATAAATATATCGAGTATTTGATTTGTGTAATCTATAAAACCTCCTAAACACATTTCAAATGTTTTTCAGTAAAACTATATATTATATCTGTTATTTTCTCTACCCTAACTCTATTCTATAACTATCACAATATTACTGGCTTTCTAACTATGCAATAAAAGCTGTTTCAAATTCATCCAAGTTAGTTGATGTGTTTACCATGAGAACAAAGCTTATACTGAAAGAGAAATTAGCATTTTTCTGTACAAAAAACAACATAATACAATATGTCATTCATAGATGAAAACTTTGGCTTTCTGTTGGTTATAAATAATATAGAATATAGTATTAAATGTAAGAGAGAACTATTAACAACTCATGAAAGAAAGGATATGGCAGGTGGGTGTGGCAAGAGTGGTCTGACTTTCTATTTGATGGCTCTGCAACCAAACAAAATTGAAGGCTATATAAATTATGGTTTGTCTGAGCAGTGATGATTTTACAACAAGTAATTACGTTACATTTTGTACTTATTGGATGGGTAGTAAATAAAATAGAGAAGAGGGGATGTCTAGAGAAAATGTGTCACACTTCTCACACAAGGGGGAATTCAGGATATTTTTATATATTGCCATTTCAAATTAAGAATTTAGAACTTATATAATATTAAAATATGGATTATTAGCTATGATTTTATGCTATACAAATTGGTATAACATAAACAAAAAGTAGTTTAATAAAATGTTGAATGTAAGACACTAAAACCTCAGTAAAGGATGCCTGTGGCGATAGGGTTAATTCTATTTGTTTCTAAGACATAAGTGAGAATTGTCTCATGTTTTTCATTTTCATATCTTTTAAACACAATTTTTTAAATAAAATGATCAAAAAGCTAAGTCTTGTGATTTTTAAGATCTATTTACACACACATTTATAAATACAAACCTAATTATCACTACATTACATTTGATATTTAATACAACAAATCATTTTGGGTTAAACCTTCATCAAATTCTGAGTCCAAATCATTATCCTTAAATAGTTGGTGCAACTTGTCTACATAGGAAGCACTAAAGCAAACTCACTTTTAGTGATTTTGCAGATACTCTTAACATTATGACTATTTATTCATCGGCTGCAATTACAAAGACAGCAAGCACTACTGTGAATGAGCAATCAGAGATTACATGGACAGACACCCTAAAATTCATATCATCAAAGGGTTACTTTGACTGCAGTATTGCAGAAGTCTAGGTGCATAATATTTATGGTGATAATGCAAATTTAACTCTTTTTGTTCATGACCATTAGATTGCACATTATATTTGGTAAATTACAGTATGTGTTTAAAGTGTACACATTTAAAAGGCTTGTTATTTATATAATATATATAACAAAAGTTGCTTTTCTTTTTAAGTGATTTGTGTCAGCAGGACAGGCAGTGTGCAAAGCATTATAAAAGCCAAAGTTGTTAATTCTGCTTAACTTAAAAGAAACTGAGCTGTATGCTTTCTCTCAGAAATATATGTATATTAAATTCAGTACTAATGTAAGTAGCTTCAAATAATTAGTGCTACATACATTTTCTATTGGAAATTAGATTTTGAATGTGAACTTTTAAAAAATTTTGGCATAACCACCATAACACTTTAAAGGTTGAAAAATACAAAATACTACTGTTCCATCTCTTTAGTATTGACCACAAAGTTCAAAGTACCTCAGAGAGTTTTTACTACTATCCTTTTGTCATCTATTTCCTATGTATTTTATTGTTAGTGGCTAAAGTAGAAACCTTCCAAACATAAAGTAATGAATTACTGCTCCTGCCATTAATGTTTAGTGACAACGTAATACAACACCGTTGATAGCAAATAAGTTTGTGCTGCACAGTTACCAGAACTTTCCCAAAGAATTTATTGTAATCCCAGCTCAGAGAACACAGTGGGAGAGGATTAATCAGCTTGTTCACAGTACAAAGTCCAGACCAATCCAATGTCAGTTTTTTTTCCAGGGTGGTCGGAATCAAGCTGTATGGGTGCACAACATGTGTAAATGCTTATGAACATGTATACATATTATTGCTATTTACTTATAAATGCTTCATTTTTTTTAAAACATAACAAAAATATTTCTAGTACTTAAAATATTACAAAATTAACTTGTACTCACACATTGTACTTGCTAAGCCTCATTTAGTCTCTCAAATGGAAGACAAATTTTTATAGATTTCAAAGATGCATTTTAGAAAACCAAAAAAATTATCAAATTATACGTGGGTTAAAAAAAATATGTAATTTCTGTTCCGAGCAATAATTTAGTCTAGAGACTTCACATTTCCAGTAAATTTGCAAATTTCCCCTTCAAATCAATTACAAATGACTGTCAGTTTGGAATTGCTCTTTCTATTGGTTACAAATATGTACTTAAGAGAAGTAGGTTTGAGCCAACGAGAGTTTTGAAAACAATGAGTAGTGGGCAGGGCTACACTGGTAGGTTTGCAAAATTCTTTCCATACAGGCATCCTTTTCTGCTTATGTCACAAAGTTTTACTGAATTACATTCAAAATTCTCAAGTTTATTTACCACTCCTCTGAGAAGTATGAAATTTAATGTAAGTTACTCATTATAATACTGTTATTACTCAGGCAATGCAAATTTTTTACACCTTCAATTTTTATTTGGTTACAGAGTCATAAACTATAAAATGAGACCCTTCTTGCCATGCCCACCTGTCACATCCTCTCTTTCACAAATTACCAATAGTTCTCTCTGATATTTAATACATTGTTAATTATCAAATGACGTACTATATTATGTTGTTTTCTGTACAGAGAATTTCTATTTCACTTACAGTCAAAACTTTACTCTAACAGGAAACACATCAGCTTAGCTGAATTTTTAATGGCTTTTATCACATAGAATGCCAGAAAAATTATGATTGCTATAGGATATTGTCTGCTTTTTACATGTTATTATTCTGTGTTCTTAGGTGCATTATTTAATTAAACAAAAAAGTATTTAGTGCAGTAGTACCATTATTATAAAAAGTAGTGTTAAGTTTCACTGAAAGTCGACATACAAAACAACAGAATATGACCCACGCAAGTACTAAATTTCTTGTTATTCATGTGTATTCTTTATTTATTATTATAAAAGTAATTAACTAAAATGTAAAAATTAGAAACTTTAGGTTAAATTAAGTAGAAGAGAGAAAAATAAAATTTTCACGAGGTATAAAATGATAATAATGTTGTTCAATTAAATTTCAGAAATCACTTTCTAAAGCAGTGTGTTGACCTGTCCACAGCAAGAGGGTTAATATGATTTTCATGGAAACTGCATGTATAAATACAAGAAAAAAAATGGAAACCAGACCTGAAAGTAAAAAGAAAGACATTAAAAGTCTGAATAAGACACTGATTAATAAGTAAAACTTTTATGGAGTTAAAAAATTAAGTGTTTTATGTAAATGGTGTAGAAGCCTATAGGGTACAGTTCTGTAGAAGCCAAAAGGAACAATAACACTAAAAGTATACTCATTAATTAAACATGAAATGATAACTAAAAAAATAATTTCTACTAAAAAAAAATGTGCAAATTTTTAAGAAATAATTTTCAGTCCTTGTTTGTATGTACTATCATTCTGTACATTATAACATAGCAATCATAGAATACGAAAGTTTTAAACAAACTGAAAAACACTTATAAAATAGTCCAAAATAGTTTTAACACTATCCATAGATGAAAAATATATTAAATATGGTACTTCATATCCACTATTTAGCAACAGCTATGGAACTAAACAATACTCTACTGCATCCTTTAACCTTTTGCACTGAAACTTACTGGATCCATTTCAAAGTAAACAAGTTCACCTCCAGTAAGAGCTATAACAACTTGTCTCTGGTTTACTGCACATTTAACAATGGTTTTCTTCCCTGGTGTACGCCATTCATTCACACGTTTATCTGCTCGAATGTGACGTATGCCATCTGGGTAGATCTGAAATTAAAAGACACAAATTGGCAACACATGAAATCTTAATTTCACACAATGAAATAGCTGTATTTTAAATACCATATAGAAAACTGAACCAACAGATACACAGAAAAAAGAACGTAGGTTTCAACTTAGAACAAGTTTCGAGACATGGAAAATTACATTCTCTCTTCTAAAAACCTCATAAAGAATCAGAAATTTAAAATAGTTGATTAAGATGTAAGAAATAAAAAACCTCATATAGAATATTTTTGCTGAGACTTTGATCTCAATAACTTGTATAAATTATTGGAGATATACAAAATATTAAAAAAAAAAAAAAGAATTCAGTCATTGCCAATGTAGATTATTATAATAGATTACATATAGGTTTGTGAAAGTTTCCATTCAATAATTTCTTTTAAACTTCCTTAGAGATAACAGAAAGAAATAATGAAAAATGCTTAAGTTTAAGTTATCTAACCATTTCAAGTATTTTAAAACATTGTTTTCAAAATAAGCATGTTTATGTTAGGAAACTGTCTACCACCTGAACTCTACAGACAGGATCAAATGTTTCAGTGTTAATTATTACAAACGTAGAAAGATATGTATCAAATCACAACTAAATGGGATGGTAATAGTTATCTGGATGTTGATCAGCATGTGATAGTTTTACTTTTGATATTAGAGCCCTCAAATCTAAACAAAAACATTCTGTGTTCTTAATTGCATTATTTAATTAAACAAAAAATTATTTAGTGCAGTAGTACCATTATTATAAAAAAATTAGTGTTAAGTTCCACTGACAGACGACATAAACAATAACAAAAAACAGAATATGACCCATTTAAGTACTACATTTCTTGTTATTCATGTGTATTCTTTATTTATTATTATAAAAGTAATTAACTAAAATGTAAAAATTAGAAACTTTAGGTTAAATTAAGTAGAATAAAGAAAAAAAAATGTTCACAAGGTATGCTCGCAAGCAGATCTATGCATTATGTAATTTGATAGGGTAATGTGAGCCACACCTTCGCTGAGTGATTTACAGCTTGTGTGACCAGATTATTAGTTAGACAATGTTCAAAGGGCAATAAAACAATAAAAATATAAGAATTACTGGTACATAAAACCTCTCCTAGGTACTTTATCAAATTAAATTAAAATTCATAACTTGCACATAAGTATAAACCTACTTGAACTAAAGCATCATCTCCAATCTGAGCACAGGACAAGGTTGGGGTGGTACCAAGAAACCCAGAATCTGTCACTTCTTCTACCGTTTCACCAATAGATAATACAAGGGTGGCATTGACGAAAGATACAATAATGTAGGCATCAAATTCATCTAAAAGGAGAAAAAAAAAAAAGATTTCATTTACTTAACTTCTATAAATACAAACACTAAAATCATTAAGTTCAAAAACTGAATAGATTAAAATAAATGCCTTTCTTTTTTAGAAAATATGTCTCTGGCTACTGCATCAGATGAATAAATGAATCTCCTCTCCAAGCACAACCCCCCTATCTCAAAAATAAAACTACTTAATGTAACATGAACACAAACATTCAAAATAGAAACAAATTAACTAATAAGAAAATTTGTATTTCTTTGTCATTTTTACCCATGTATTTCAGTAAATTCAAATGTAAACAATTTCCTATACAAGTTTTGTTGCCTATAGTGAACAAGCAGAAATATAACTATGTAATTGTTTACGTATAAAAATAACAATAGTCACTTGAACTGAACAAAACATATAGCATATGCAAACAGATGGAGACAACAAAATTAAGGAATCTGATGAAAACATTACTGTTTATAAACAAAATCTCTAACACAGAGAAACAAAATTAAAATATAAAGCTCTTTTAAAATAGATGTAAAGGTGGCTTAAATAAAAATTATAAAAAATAGCTAAAGGATCGACCTCATAACTATTTTGTGCTTGTTATAGTTTTCATGCTATAACTTTTAAATTAGTAAGCATACATTAACGAAATTTGGCATATTCTCAGTAAACAATGTTTTCACATGCAAAATATCAAATTTTATTATTGTTAAGTCTTGAGGTTTGTTAAGCAATATTTTTCTCATGCCTTTTTTCTTTTCACATGTTGCCTATAAAATAAAGATTTGAATATATGAATATATTAAGTATTTGTTTTGAATAGTCCATGTGCAAAGTAATTTTCATGTTAAAATATAAATACTTTTCCTCATCTAAAAAAAAATCACAAATTTCTTCTGTGTAATCCCCAAAACCGCATTTCAAAAGTTTTTTTTCAGTAAAACTTTATAGTTTATCTGTTATTTTCTCTACTCTATCTCAAAACAGATTACCCTTTTTCTTTCTTTCTAGAATGACTTCAAATTGTAACATGAAACTACATACAGCACTGGTTCAAATTAGATGTTTGTGATGTTTAAAATACAAAGTCTTTAGTTTTGCATGAATTAGAAACTCATATTCCTGATATTAATAAGCTAGAATATAAAATAAAAACCTCATATCTTTTCTATTTGCTGAGATGTCACTCATGTATGCAATCAAACACAGTGGCCCGCTCTCCTCTTTCCATTTTTGGAAATGGTCCCTTGTATACACTTAATTTTGTATATGACATGTGAATAACCAACCGGAAGCCCAGTATGTCCCCCTAGTGGCTTTCTCATCCATTTTCAAGTGTGATGCTGTCATTATGTCCTTTCGACACAGATCTTCATGTTCATAAGGCGAGTCTTTAGTGAGCTTGAAATTTCATATTTTTTAGACCCAAATACAGCTTAATTATTATAGTGGAATTTTATGGTAATGATATAGCAATTTATTATTTTTTGGGTTATTTGAAATGTGTGGGTATATATATATATATATAC